CCTAAAATTAATATACAAGGGACCTAGAATAGCCAAAACAATCTTGAAAAAGGACAAAATTTAAGAACTCATACTTCCTGATTCAGAAACCTACCAAACCTACCACAAAGCTATAGTAATTAAGACAGCTTGGTACTTATGTAAGAATAAACATTAGATATATATATGGTCAATTGATTTCTGACAAAGATACAAAGACCATTCAATGGGGAAAAAATAGTCTTTTCAACAAATGGTGCTGGAACAATTGGACATCCATATGTAACCACATACTTCAAAAATATACAAAAATTAACTAAAAATGAATCAAAGACATAAATGTAAGAGCTGAAACCACAGTGTTCTTTGAAGAAAACAGAAGCCTTTGAACGTTGAATTAGGCTGTTTTTTTGTTTTGTTTTGTTTTTTAGCTATGACAACAAAAGTACAACCAACGAAAAGTAAATAAATGGAAATACATAAAAATTTAAAAACTTTTTATATAAAAGGACACCATCAAAAAGGTAAAAAAGACAACCTACTGAATAGAAGAAAATAATTGAAAAATATATATCTAGAAAAGGTTTAATATCCAGGATATATAGAGAACTTTTACAATTCAACAATGAAAAGACAAATTACACAATTAAAAAGAAGGGCAGAGGATATGAGTAGATATCTCTACATATAAAAAGAAGAGAATGTTTATGTATGTGTTTTGTGTGTGTGTGTGTGTGTGTGTGTGTGTATGAAAATACATTTTACATAATTCAGATTGCATTGTTTGCCTGCAAAGATGGAGAACTGGATACTAGGAAAGAGAATGTTTGTGTAGTTAGAAAAAGATTTCACTGTAAGCCCTTTTGTAACTTTGGAATTTTTAAGCCATATGAATGTATTTTCTAATTCAAAATAAATAAATAAAATATAGATTTTAAAAAATATTTTTTAAAAGTGAATGAATGAGTCATATAGGGCTGTGGGAAGAACACTGGCCTAAGTTTACAGAAACCTGAATTCCAGTTTACAGAAACCTGAATATATGGGTAATTTCTTACCTCATCTGTTCAGTCTCCCTTTCTCCCTTTTCAAACTCTATGCATATTTTAAACAAAGCATGTAGACTTAAGAAAGGTTCATATGTGAGGATTCTGAACAATGAAAGGTCTCAATAGAAAAAGCTGAATTCATGTTTTTGTTTGAACAAGTTTCTAGCAGCAGAACAAGCAGCTGGAGTACCCTGAAAGTGTTGAGCAAAGTTAATCTCTCCTTCTATCAGTAGGTGGCGATAGTGAGTACGATAATGTTCAAGCCAGACTTTTGTTCTAATGGACACAAGAGCCTTAGAAATTTAGAGCCTTATCTGCTCAATTCCCATATTTTCCAGAAGTGAGGTCCGACTCTGAAGATTGACTGACACAGAAAAGAATGAAATCCACATCTCATAATTTTTAACTCTTCCACTCAACTAAATACTTTAATAAGCTGAAAAACTAAAACTCTGAACTTCTTGGGAATATGAAGTTCCATCACTCAGTCTATACTTGCTTTACACTTTATGCTTTTCTTTTCTAATCTGAAGTCAAATGATTATGGGAAGGTGGTCTCTAAATGTTAAAGCATGGTTGCTAAATTCACAGATGCGGCTATTAATTAGTTCTTTCAAGTACCTAATTTTAAAATAAAAACATTTTCCTCATTTTATTGTCTAAATTATGCACAACAAATGACTTGTTTCAGAAATTAAACTTTTCTCCCTATTTTCATTTTACATTGGCAATTCCTAACCTGGAATATGGTGGGTGAATTTTTTTTTTTAATTGAAATGTTAAGGAACATCCTAAATGTCCAAAAATAATAGAGATCATTCAGGAAATATTTTTAATAATTCTAAGTAGCAATATAGTGTGGTGGTTATGCAGCCACACAGCCCAGTTCAAATCCTGGTCCACCCCTTACTTACTTGCCTTGTGCTACTGAGCAAGTTTCTTATCATCTTGAGCCTCAGTTTTCTTGTTATCAATAGGACTGGTTCTGTGAGAATGTATCCAAGTGCTCAGGACAGTACCGATATGTAGTATCTGAGGACAATGAGGCTTCCTAACCCTTTGAGAAACAGTAATTCCTTTAAAAGAGGATGTTTTCTAACTCAAGGTAATTTCTAATTGGGTCTCATAAACTCTGTGAGAATAAAACGGAAGAAAAGTCAAACAAAATGCTTGGGGAGGCTGGCTTGCTGGGCCTAGTGGTTTCTAAACTGTTTTTGGAATATCCAGCTTCTAGCCTGCCTTCACTTCTTAACCACAGGGTTCTCTAAAATCGCGCGGGGGTTTTTTGTGTGTGTTTCCCGCCCAGATGAAATGTTGATGACTGGTTGGGGAGGATGTTACCGGGCAGGACAAAAGCAGCCGATTATAGGAACACGCTTTTGAAGTGCGGTGTTTGCTTTCCTGTTCCAGTCTGTCGGAAAGGAGGAAGTTAGAGCAATGAAAATGGCCCTCCCATTCTTCTGAAATGTGAGTTCAGTCCTCTTGCTTCAGAGCAAATGCAGAACCATTTTGGGCAGACTTTGCCTTCCCTCCTTTCCTTTCTTCTTTAAATACCCCGTTAGCCCTACAAAGCATCCAGGGTAAGATCTGCATCACCATAGATATTCCTGATTATACTTAGCAGTCCAGGTTGGAACTGTGGAGAGTATGTAGGTCTGGTGCGGAAAGGAACCAACCCTTATCTCCATTGCAAACCTTGGCTACCGCTATTTCTCAGACTGTAGTACAACCCTCTCTTCTTTTCCTAAGGCTCCAGACCCCCTCACCTTTCCTCTCTAACTTCTATAACTTCTATGCCTCAGTGGAAACCTTAGTACGAGTAAACGCTCCCTTTTCTTGATTTCAGGGCAACATGAGGCTAGGGTTGATTAGAAAAGCTACAGGAACACAGATTTGAGAGGGCAGGATTCAAGAATATCCCCCTGTGACTCGAAATATGCTTATTAAATAGATAGTACATATACCTGTATGAAGGTATGCATGTGATCTCAAACAGTTCCCATTTATTGTATTTAATATGGTCATGATAACATCAGGATCTTATGAAAAATGTCAATCATATTCAGATTAAGAAAAAAGGTCCAATTTTAGAGGTCTGAGATCACTAGTGGGTGCAGGAAAGGCATAAGCCCAGCTTAAGTACTTTCTAGCTGGGTGATTCTGAACATGTCATGGAACGGTGGTAGGTGGGTAGACAGACATGAGCAGAGCAAGGAGGATGGGCCAGGTACAGAAGGTCACCATGGAAGAAAGCCTAGCAATAGACACCTTGTCTCCAGGGCAACCTTTCCTATCCCAGCATATTGCGGTATAGACCCCCTCACCTTTCCTCTCTAACTTCTATAACTTCTAGGCCTCAGTTGTTTCAGCTCCAGGCCTAAAAAAGCAGCAAGGCCAGAACAAGCTGTGATGACTAATGACACACTCCCCCAACCTCCCTGCAGTTGACCAAACAGTAGAGACCAGGATCCTGAAAAGACACATCTGGAAAACCGATGAATTGTCTATTGAGATCCTCCCCTGGGAAGTCCCCTATAATCTCCTTAAGAGCATTTAGGATGGGGACCTGGGCCCAGGAGCGTGCCTGTGCCTTTTCCTTTCACAACTCCCTCCTCCATCCCCAGCCCCCACCCAGGTGAGTAAGTTACCTTTACCTCCTTCATTCTTGAGCATCAAGAGCCCTTCTTTCACCTCTGCAATTTATTTCTGAAACCCATTTCTTCTACCAGTCACTTCTTCCACCTCTGAGTTTCTAAATAAACGTTCTCTTATAATGAATCTTGGCTCCTACGAGACCCCAGTGGTCTAACACCTGTTGCCTTTCTCCAAGCTGTCAACAGAACCTCTATAGGTTGTCTCATTTGTAAAGGGGATTAAAAATAACAGTTACCTCATGCGCTGTTTAAGAATTAACTTTCAAAACAGTATAGCAGTCCTGGCCCTGTTGTCTGGTACACCAAAAGATTGTGGGTTCGATTCCTGGTCAGGTTTCGGGGAAGAGAGGCAACTGGTTGATATTTCTCTCTTCCTCTCTTTCACATTAAACAAACAAAAAACATGTCCTCAGGTGAGGGGTGAGATGAGGATTAAAATAAATAATAATAAAAATAGTAAAGCAGCCCTGGCCAGGTAGCTCAGTTGGTAAGAGCATCGTCCCTATATGCCAAGTTTGCAGTTCAATCCCTGGTCAAAGCACATATAAGAAAGAACCAATGAATGCATAAATAAAAGGAATATCACATTGACGCTGGCCTCTTCTCTCTCTCTCTCTCTCTCTCTCTCTCTCTCTCTCTCTCTCTCATCAATCAATAAAATAATAAAACAGTAAAGCACTACGCAAATGTTCTTGATATTCTTGTTTATCTAACATCTACGCACATTCTCCACAAGTATACTTCTCTCTATTAACTACAGAGAAGTTTTTAAAGAGACGCTTTCAGAGACCATGAGGATGCTCGGAGGGGTTATGGATACAGGTTGAATCTGAAAGGTCAGCAGCCCAAGAAACCGGAAAACATCCATCTTTGATGGGACATTTCCCAGCCCCTGACCGCTGGGTGCAGAGGGGACCAGAGTCCCGCCCCCTGAGGGCGCTCGCATTTGAACTTGGCCCCAGGTTCGCGCTGCCCACCTCTCTGCGCCCGCCAGCTCCCAGCCATCCTCCACAACGGGGCCGCCCCGCAGAGCCCATCCCGACCCTGCCGCCGGCCCAGCGCCCAGCACCCAGCACCCAGCACCCCCCAGACACTCCACGCCACCATCGGAAACGAAATACCGACCCCCTCTCCCCGAAGAGGCGGGGCGAGGGGGTGGGGAAGGCGGTCGCCTCGGGCAGGCATGCGCACAGCCCGCCGCGGGCTCCAGGCCCGAGAGACGGGGGTCGGCGCCGCTGGGGCGAGAAGCCGCCTCGCGGGGACGCAACTCGGGGGCCCGAGTGGCCCGGCCCCGCCGCCCGGCCCCGGGGCGCCGTACCTGGTAGCGGCCGGTGAGCAGCTGGCTCCGCGACGGCGTGCAGAGCGGCTGCGTGTAGTAGTTGGCCAGGCGCACCCCGCCCGCCGCCAGCGCGTCCAGGCGCGGCGTGCGCAGGCGGGAGCCGTGGAAGCCCACGTCGTGCCAGCCCAGGTCGTCCGCCAGCACCAGCACCAGGTGCGGCCGGCGCGCCCCGGCCGAGCCCGGCGGCGGCCGCAGCAGCAGCAGCAGCAGCAGCGGCAGCAGGACGGCGGGGAGCAGCGGCCGCGGGCCCATCCTTCGCCGCCCGCGGGCCCCGCGCCTGTGGCGCCCCCGGCCTCCGGCGCCGCTTTTAGAACCAGGAACTGGGCGGCCGCCCCGCCCCGGGACCTCGCCCCGAGGGCCTCCGGCTGCTGGGCCTCCGGCTGCCGGGCCCCCCGGTCTCCCCGGCCCGGCCGGCGAGGCGGGGCGGAGCCAGTGGACCGAGCTGGGGCGCTGCAGCCGGCGCCGGGGACACCGCGTGGGTGCGCGATGGGGGCCAAGACCGCTGACCTTTCCAGCCGTGAACTTGGCACCGTGGCATCCAGCAGAGCAACCGAGTTGTTCAAACACTTTACAAAGCGTTTTCAAGCCCTTTTTAAATCTGGCAGCTAGGAATTATAATGCCCGTCTTGTTGTTTTGTTTTTTTAAATATATTTTATTGATTTTTTACAGAGAGGAAGGGAGAGGGATAGAGAGCTAGAAACATGATGAGAGAGAAACATCGACTAGCTGCCTCCTGCACACTCCCTACCGGGGATGTGCCCGCAACCAAGGTACATGCCCTTGACAGGCCTGGGACCCTTCAGTCCGCAGGCCAACGCTCTATCCACTGAGCCAATCCGGTTTTGGCTGCCCGTTTGCTTTTGTTTTGTTTTGTTTCAGAATAAACAATCTTGTAGTTGGTTGAACCTAACCTAAACTCACTTCTGTCTCCAGATCCTGAGCTACGATGTTTGAAAGGGAGTGGCAGAATCTTATAGCAAAAGTGCGGGCGAAAGGACGATGAGGCAATACTGTAGTATGAAAAGTCGTTTCATATTCTGTTAATGAATGGTGTGCACCTGTGAAGCCGTTGCCTCCCCACGAACAAAAAGGGGGTTCCACACACACTCCCACTGCACGGTGCCCTTTTGAAGGTGCAGGTTTACTCGGGCTTCCCTGGGAGTTGTTGGGGCACCGCGTGGGCATTCAGTAGCTCATTAGCTTGTCCAGATAGGAGCTCCTTCAGAGCTGGCTCCCCAACAACCCAGTATTAAACCAAAAATCTAGGGTATCTCATTTGCCTGGAATAATCTGTCAATGGAAGGAAATTCCTTTAACCACATGCTCACTGAATGGGGAAGTTAGCCTTATGACCAGTATGTTCCCATTGCCATCCAAGACTTTCTGCATACCTGGAGATAGAGAATAACAGTTGCAGTAGGGTAAAAAAATAACAATTAAAAAAAATTAGGCCCTGCATCCCTTCAGGGTGATGAATCTGATTCCACGGGAGGTGTTTTACAGCTTTGAAAGTTGTAGGTAACTGATAGCAATGGAAACTAATTTTTGTTTACACTTATGCAAATGAATTCTATCCCGTGGAATGACCCCCCACCTCTACCCTCACCTTCACCTCCATCCTCACCCCCATTACCATGGAAAAAAGTTTTTACCTCCACTTGCACATTTAACATTCCTCATCTGTTCTTTGGATTGTCCTTTGAACTGGTTTAACACTGTACCAGCTTCCTAATTAATGAGTTAACTAAAATATTTAACATGTATTCATTTTCATGTCTGTGTAAAGGTCATGATTTTATCTTTTTTTGAAAACTCTCCTTGAACACAGTGAATGTTTTTCTTTTATATGCATATATATTTTTTCTTTGTGTGAGGTAGATTAGTTTATAATACATCCACTTATCAACTCTGATAAATCAATAAAATTTAGCAGGAAAATGTTTAAATGTAGCTTTAAAAAGAATAATTGTAAAGAGCTGTTTGATTCTCATTATATTAGGACTTGTAAATTCCTTGTGAAGAAGACCCTTTAGGAGACCATGAAGGACTGAGAATTTTTAACTATGGCCCTTGCATGTCCTTTTCTCCCAAAACTGTACCTCCCCACTCTTCCTGATAAAAATCTCATTGCCCAATCCATGGCTGCTAATCTGCAGCTGCTTCTGAAACTAGCTAAACTTGCAGTGAGCTTTCTTATGTCCTTCATTTTCAAATAAAAAGCTTATTCCAGCACTGCTCTGGAAGTGTGCAAATGAATTCATTAAAGAGTTAATTCTATTTTGCATCTGTATTTTGCAACACTCAAATGTGCATGACAAACTAGTTAATGTAAAATTTCTCAGTTGGAGTTTGTCCGACGTTTCCCAATGATTAGACTTAGGTTATGGGTTTGTGTAGAAATATTGCAAGAGTGATAGTGTACATTCTTGATGCTACATTTTAAGGGCTACATGATGTTGATTTGCACTATTATTTGAACACTTTGCTCAGGTAGCCACTTCTCCACTGCAAAGTTACTATTTTACCCTTGGCATTAATAAGAATTTTATGGAGAGATACTTTGAGAATGTGTATATTGTTATTCTTAAAACTATTGCTTATTCTAACATCCACTAATTCTCCTTGCTCTAATAAATTATCAGTATGGTTGACAAATGATGACTTTGTAAATTAGTCATTCCTTCTTTATTACTTGCCTTCCTACTATAAAGAAGAACTTTCCCTACTCCCCACTTACTCATTTATATTACCATGAACTCATCAATTCTTTTCATCAATCTGCTATAATTCTTTGCTATAATTACTTCAGTGTGCCAGTTTCCTCTGACTTGGGCAGTGGGAGCCTCTTTAGTCTGGCTCTCACTTCCTTTTGGCTTGTCCTCTTTAATCCTGGAGCACATCCTTGCTTTTTGATACAACAAAATAGTCTAGGTTCATCTTGTACTTTTCCTTCCCCAATTCTGGAACCAGACATTTCTCCAAGGAACCTCAATACTTTTTCATAGACACGGGCACCAAGAAACCAAGATTTGTGCTGTAGGTGTGCTCATTGCTACCGGGCTGTCACTGCTTCGAGGCTATCTCACTAGACAAAGATAGGAACTAGGGTATATGTAGTATATACAGACACACATACATAAGTATATATACACACACCTACACACCGTATCAGTACAAATCTATAGGAAAAAAACACTAGTTCATAGTGAATACCTTCAGTTCTATTTCTCCCTTTCCATAGGTGTATGGGTTGTACCAATTTTCATTAACTCCAGCTATTAAAAAGTACTATATTTTTTCATTTTTTCCCAACCTGATAGGAGACATAGTATATCTGTATAGTTTATATTTGTTATTAAATTCCTCTTATTCATAGTAAGGTTAAACATCTTTTCATATGGTGAAGGGTCATTTTTATATCATTTTTGTGAATTGTGTCATTTTGTTATTTGGGTTTTGGGTATTTCCCCCTCAATTTTAAGAGTTATTTATATATTTGAGATATTACCTAACTGTAAAATATATCACAACTATATTCTCCCAGTTTGTCAATTGTCAAATATTGTATTATAGTGTTTTTTTACATGCCAAAGTTATTTTTTTTATGTAGTCAAATTTATCAACATTTTCTTGTATTGCATCTGGACTTGAGTCATAGACTTTTATTACACCAAAGTTAAAGTAAAATTCAACCATGTTTTCTTCTAGGACTTGTATGGTTTCAGTTTTAGCATTTAATTCCCTGATCTGTAGGCATTTATTTTTGTGCGTGACATGAGCTATAGATCTAATTTTATCTTTTTCCAAATGATTATCCAATTGTCCTAGTACCACTCATAAGGAAATAGTGCTAAGTTAAGCATATGATTATGGAAGTTAAGCATAGGCTATCTCACTAGACAAAGATAGGATCTAGGATGTATGTAGTATATACAGACACACATATGTAAGTATATATATGTATATATACACCTACACACATACATAAGTATATATATGTATATATATATGTGTATATATATATACCTACACACCGTATCAATACAGATCTACAGAAAAAAAAAAACACTAGTTCATAGTGAATACCTTCAGTTCTATTTCTCATATGCTAAACTTCCATAAATACTTGACTCTTTTTCTGGGCTTTCTGTTCTATTCCACTGGCCTCTCTGTTGACTCCTGCACCAGTACACACTGTATCAGTTAGAGGTGTTACATTGTGTTTTAAGGTATGGTATGAATAGTGACTCCTTACAGCTTTATATTTTTAATGTTTTTTTTCTGGCTATTTCTGCATATTTATTTTTCTTGAAAATACATTAAATTTATAAATTAAGGACAACTGAAATCTTTATAATACTAAACTGTCCTGTTTGTTTAAAATGTTGACTTTTATTAAAGCCTACTTTTTAAATTAAAAACATTCTTTTAGAAACAGAGGAAGGGGGAGAAGAGGAGAGAGAGAAACATCAATTTGCTGCTCCACATACTTAGGCATCCATTGGTTGCTTCTTGCGTGTGTCCTGATCAGGATCGAATCCACAACCCTGACACATCGGGACAGGACCCTAACCAACTGACCTACCTGGCCAGAGACTATTAAAGTCTATGTTTGTATCTTTTAAAAGTGTTTTAAGATTTTCCTCATATCAATTTTGTGCCTCTCTTGTTAAATTTATTCCTAAATATTTTATCTTTCCTGTTGCTATTGAAAGGGGGCTTTCTCTACCATTCTATCTTTTAACAGGTTATTATTTATGGAAATGAAGACTACTGATTTCTGTGTGGTGACTTATATTTCACCAAGTACTGAATTATTTTACTGTTTGAGTTAGTGTAATCATTGATTTTATTTTAGAGTTTTCCCAGTACGTGATGTTATCAGAAAAAAACACCTTCCAATCAGTTCAAAGCTGCAAAAGTTAGGTCAGAAATCAAAGCAGCTCCCAATTCACAACTGGGTATAAAAGTTAACTGTTTGGTAAGAGGGGTGCTTGGAACTTGGAATGTATTTTTTCTATATGGAAAGGATCTTATATACGGCTTGTATTCTCACCTACACAAACCTATTTAACCCATAATTAAAGTCTGTTAAGTCCTAAAGTCAGTAAGAAAAGAGCAACAATCTAATGTTTAAAGGGGGAAAATACAGGAACATAATAGTTTATAGCGAAGTAAATATAGTCCAGCCAGTGTGGCTTAGTTGGTTGAGCACTGTTTCATGCACCAGGAGGTTGCCAGTTCGTATTCCCAGTCAGGTCACATGCCAAGATTGCAGGCTCAATCCCCACTATAAGGTATGTAGGAGGCAGCTGATTGATGTTTCTCTTTCATCCATGTTTCTATATCTCTCTTCCTCTTTCTTCCTCTCTCTGAAATCAATAACATTTTTTTTAAAAGTGGTCATTAAATATATGAATAGATATTCAATATCATCAAAAGGAGAAATACAAATTGAAACTTCAATAATATAACATGGATACTAGTGATAACATATGGCTTTTAGTAGGATGTAAATAAACAAGTCCTCTTATATATTAATGACAGAAATGAAATTTGACACAACCTCTAAGGCAAACATTTTGCATATATGTCAAAATGCACATACACTTTAACCCAACAAATCCAGTTGTATGAATTTATCCTCCAAATATACTCAATGTAAGAAACTTCATATATATCAAGATATTCATTTTAGTCTTTATTTTATTAGAAAAAGGCAAATAGTAGGGCCTGGTCCAATTAATTATGGGAAATTAAACAATCAATTAAAATGATTATATGGAATAATATCCAGGATGCACCATTAAATTTTAAAAGTTAAGCAAAGAACATTATGTTTGGTATGCTTTCATTTGCTTAAAAAATATATGTATATATATATGCATATATACACGTATATATATTATATGTATATGCATATATATACATATAATATACATATGTATATACACACACAACACACACACACACACACACACACACACACACACACTCATATATTGAGAGAGATGCTTACTTATTTATAGAGTATCTTAAGAAGGACACAGAAGAAAGATTAGCATTAGTTGTCTCTGGGTAGACTGGTTAAGGTCAGGGATAGGAGACTATAACTTTTCACTATATATCCTTTATGCCTTCTAAATGTTAAGTCTGTGCATATATTACCTATTTCTAAAAAGTATTTTGTTAATAGTAATCTTAGTAACATAATTTACATTTAAACAAAAAGTAAAATGCATTATAAGTGAGAACAGGGTGCCAAGAATAAATATCCCTCAGTGAACATGTTTGTCAAGGCCATGCACTAAGAAAACCACACAGATGCTATTGTCTCTTGGTTTCAAGGACTCTTAGTTCTTGGCATGGTGCTAACTGGCTGTAAGCTGTGCTCGGAAGTCAGGATATCTGTGCTTCATGCTTCCCTCAACCTGTTTTTGGTTCAGTGCCTTTGAATATGATTAATGTTGCACACAAAGGTTAGGCAATTTTAAATACTATCTCTAAACGCTTAACTGTTGCAGTAAAGATAAGGTTGGCAAGAGTTCTTTCTTAGAGAGAAAACCTGAAGTTCACTAACCAAATGTGGTAAATTGTGGTTGGTGTTCCTCATTGGCCCATTTACTACCCTGAACAGTCCAGAAGGAGGTAGACTCAAACATCAGGAAGAATAGCCAAACTTTGATACTTTAGATGCCAGCTTATGAAAGTATTTTCACAAACATTTGGAAACTGATCTAGAATGGATATGTTTCTACCATATCTTAGTAAGGCACCGGGGGGGGGGGGGGGGGCGGGGAGAGGACCTTCTTAAAGGCGTGTAAGGTCATATATTGGACTGACAGATGAGTGTTCTCCTAGTTGTCAGTAGTCATAAGCATTAAGTCATAGCCACTCTCAGAGCAAACTACTATCACTGCATTAAACAATCATCAAGGTTCCAAGCACACAGGAAGCTCATTCTCTGAAAGAAGCATCTTCAGTTTAGTGTTGGTTTTGTTTTGTGTGTTGGTGTATGTGTGTGTGTTAGGAGGAAAGGGTCAGATTAAAAAAAAAAAAAAGATGAAAGATTTCTTTTAGCTCTAATATTCTCCAAATTTCAGAAATTGATAATCTGGATAAAGAATGGCTTGGGGCCAATTCAAATTGAAACTCCTTTGACCACCCTCATCCTGTCCATTGCTTACCACCTCCTACCTCCTTGAAACCAACAAGGCAAGAGTAGAGAGTGGAAACAGTACCATATAGAGAGATTTTGGCATGTTTTTGTGTAGGAGATCGCACAAAAGTGCACATCAGTCAAAGAATTCTCAGAAAGTGAATGCACCCATGTAACCACCAACTTAACAGATTAAGAAAGACGACGTTGGTGTTGCACTCTGTCTCACTTCTTCATTCCTTCTCATTATTTTTCACACAACCTAAGCCTTCACGTTCACACAATATTTATTATATACAACTCAATTACATTCATGTTTTCTGTACTGAACTTTTTACATCACACACCAATTTCTTAAGCAGTTCTAAGCTAACTCCAATCATGCTTCAATATCTCAACCAATGTGAGCACTGTATTTAAAATAGTCATATTGTATGACCAAGAGGGTAAGAATCTACTCTTGCTAGATAAGAAAGCTTTATATATACATAGCTTTTAAAAAGTGAAACAAGTACATAGTTTTTTAAAATGTTAAAGAGGCATACAGTGAAAAATCTCAACACCTCCCAGAAATACTAGTGTAATAGCCCATGCCACAACTTCCCTCCATCCTAGTAGACATGTTTGCATCTCTTGACCTGACCCCTTTGGTTTTTATACTGAATGGATTATGTTTGTGTTATATTATGGTCTTTGTCTATTGCTATATAATCCATTTCATGATTTTCCTCTGCGCTGCTCTGCTCTGCTCATCAGAGGAGAGGTCAAATCCTGAAAACTACATGGCCCGGGCTCCTTTACCTCCTTGGCTCCAGTTAGGTTCAGCGAATGGGAGGTGCTGCCGAGAGCTGGGAGAATGGGAGGAAGAGATAAGTCAGGGTGTTTCTTCCATTCTTTCTGCTTTGTGGCGTCTTTAGCAGCCTAGCAGTATCTCTTCTGTGGTTCCAGATCCCACTCGCAGCTCCTCTGTCTATGGTCCAAGTATCACCTTGGCACTCCCTGAGGGCATCCCTTACTGGTTCTCCTTTGACCTACCTGGAAGTTAGTCACATGGAGAGGCCCAGGGAGAGACAAGCTCTGCCAGCCCCAGCTGTTACAGTCACCCTTGGTGAGGAGCCAGACATGTGAATGAAGAAGCCATCTTGAATGACCAGCTAATGAGATGACTAGATTAAGTGAGGATCACTTTTTTAAAAAGTCCTATGTTTTTCATATGACACAATTATTTTTAGTAATAATTATGAAATAAAATTAATAATGACCAGAAGAGAAATTCAAAGTGTAAAAAATATTCTCCTATTAAAAAACAACAAATAAGAAAAATAGACATAAAATAATACTATAGTACAAAAGAGCTAGAAGTTAATATTTTTAAATTAATGTTTTTAAAATATATATTTCTATTGAATTCATAGAGGAAGGGAGAGGGAGAGATAGAAGCATCAATGATGAGAGAGAATCATTGATCACTTGCTTCCAGCATGCCCCACCCTGGGGATTGAGACCACAACCTGGGCATGTGCCTTGACCAGGAATTGAACCATTTCCTCCTGGTTCATAGATCAACACTCAACCACTGAGCCATGATGGCTGGGCAAATTTAATGTGTTTTTTTTTAAGAAAATATATCTACATATTGGACTGTTGTGATAAATTGGTCTAGTATCTGTAAGTAAAAAAGTACCTTTTCTGTTTTTAAGTCTTAAGCTTTGCAGTGACTTCACTGAAATGAATCTGCTTCACATATTAATGTTTAATAGATGGTAGAGCCAGATTTGCCAGTTATCTTTGTACATAGTTGATTGCAGAACATTTTAAGCTTTTCATTTCTAAAGCTTTTAAATGCCCAACAGATGTACAATAATTAGAAAAAGACTTTAACATAATAAGTTTGGCAGAGATTCATAAAAATGTTCTTTTACAACAAACTCCAGAAATTGTAGTACTGTCTACATCTTTGTTCCTTTGGGAACAATCATAGTAACTTTCAAATATCTCCACTTAAATATCTCCAGTTAAAATTTTTCCACTGAAACGTCCTCATCAGAAAATGTATCATACATTTCTATTATATATGATGAATACTTCTAAAGTTGCTCTTATCTTCTAAAATCAGAGAAGATGCCGGGACCGGTTTGGCTCAATGGATAGAGCGTCGGCTTGGGGACTGAAGGGTCCCGGGTTCAATTCCAGTCAAGGGCATGTACCTTGGTTGCGGGCACATCCCCGGTAGGGGGTGTGCAGGAGGCAGCTGATCGATGTTATTCTCTCATCATGTTTCTAACTATCCCTCTCCCTTTCTCTCTGTGAAAAATCAATAAAATATATTTAAATAAAAATAAAATCAAATCAGAGAAGATGGCTGAATGATAACAAACTTTGCCATTATTTGATGAAAAAGATCAAGGCATTCAAACACTGCCCTCTTAACTTCTTCTAGCAGTATAAGGCCAGCATCTTTTGTTGTTTTCCCTGGCATTTTTTGAAATTTAATTGTTTTTTCTGAATAAACAACTATTTCCTTATATTTTTTTCTAGTTAATTGCCTTCTCCACAATTTCTACATACTGTTCCTTTTATTGGAATCTGATATAATAGAATTTTATGTAAATAATTTTTCCAGTCACTAATAATTTACTAAAAAGTTACAATTTAGGTAACTATTAAATTGTATTATTGATGTAGCATTATATTTTATTAGTTCTTCCTTTAACTTTAACCCAATTAACAATTTAAAAAAAAAGAAATTTGAATTTTGAAGATATTCAAAGTCAGTAAGATATTTAATGTATGAATTAAATTTTTTAACTTATTGAACACAATATTATGCCTCATAAATTTGTCCTCTGTTTCATAGTGCAAATAATAAACATAAATAGAAACTCTAAGTGATTACATAGAATGACAGAACTGAAGAAACTGAACCTATCTCTTTGTATTTATGATCACTCTGCTGTCCTTATTTCCAACCTATTGTTTAAAGGATAACTAGTTCCATGAGCATTGAAGGCCCAAACTATGCCTGAAGAAATATCAATGATTCCAGCACTAAAGCACTTACTTGAAAATGAATATCTACAGCTGAGTCTGTGAGTATTATGGGCCTATGGTATAACTAAGGATTCTTTCTTTTTATTTAAGTATAATTGGTATACAATATTTTTTTTTAGTTTCGGGTGTACAGTATAAGGACTTGACATTTATATACCTTAAAATGCAATCACCACTGTCTTGTAATCATATGTCACCATGCAAACCTATTGCAATATAATTGGGGTTCTTTAAATTAATTTCCATGTAGAATACAATATTTATGAAGGTAGGTAATAAAAAGATGCTAACTTGAAATAGATAGGTAGATAAATGACCAAAACATCAATAATTGCAACAACAAAAGATTTATACTAAACAGTGTTTTGTGGGGAGGAGAAAAAAAAAAAAAGGAACTGAGATACTTAATGGTATCACTAAGCCTACCTCTAGATTTTATGATTTAACAAAATAAATAATAGCTTAAACTGTTGTTAATGGGGTATTTTCTTACTTGCAGCAATTGCTTTCTGATACCCAGTGAGCATTTTCAACCTTTAATCTTACATCTTTCATCTTTGGACACTGTTTGCCATTCTCGCCTCAAAATGTTCTCTCCCCTTAGCTTCCATGGCATCTTTGTGACTAAACACACTATTTGCTGTTGTTGTTTTGGTTAAATGTTTGACCTCTCTACTTTTAAGTTCTATAAAGGCAAGGACCATGTCTGTTCACTGCTTTCCAGTGCCTGGCCTGCAGTGTAGGCTAATGACTACTTTACCAAGGAAAGTAGTTACTTATAAAACTTCCAATGCAGAGAAGGCTTTAGTAGGTGATTGTGATTTGTGCTTGGTTCGTGGCAGAGCTGGGAAAAGCAAATCGTCTTTCAGTCCAGTAGCCTTTATACCACCTTGCCATCTCTCTCCGTGACATGCTAATATTCACAAAATCATACCTGGGTAAAATATAATTAAATAATGTGTTTCCCTTTTATATTCCATAGCATCTGTAAACTATTGGACTATTCTAAAGATTCACTGATGGCAGAGAGATAAATGAAGACAGGTTGATCACTTTAATATTTATATGAAGATCATCAGACGAAAGTATAATTAACTGAACTTTCAGTTCCCTGCTTTTTTGAGACCTTGGCTAAAGGATGCTATCTGTGTAACTGAAACTTTCTTCTCTTCATAGCTGCTGTGTTCCCTAACGTCAATCTTTCTTTTTGCTCAACTCAAATATGCACAAAGTCCTCGCACAAAAATTCTCAAATCTAATCTGTCTCCTATTCAATGTCCCACACAGCTTACTTTAAAATATTTTTTTCTGTCACCTTTTCTATCTGTACAAAAGGATAAAGATAGATTAATTAGGATGTGACCATTAGTAATATAACATCCATAAAAGTCTTGAGAATGTGTGGACTGGAAATGCTTGCGCAGTTCCAAGAAGCTTCCGAGCTCAAGAGAAGCAAGTGTCCATCATTCGCCATCATATCCTTGAGAACCCTTTTCTAAGCTGTAGACACGGCTCCCACACATACTAGGGTTTCCCTTTTATATAAAATTCAGATTTATGTGGGAGAAAATCTGGTTAACTTGGCTCATCTCTCCATTGCCAAGTTGTTTGTAGGTCCTTGGTCAAACCTAGGCCAGGACCACTGGCTGAGTGGAAGTGGGGTGCTGGGGTAACTTGCAAAACCTAACAGCACCTAACACACAACAAAGAAGGAATGGGGGCAACTTCTGAATGCAATCAGGATGTAAATTTCTTTTATATACTGTGGATAGGATTTCTTTAAATGTTTAATATTCATCTAAACATTCCATTCTTTTATTGCTCTGTTTTAGTGCTATATTAACTGTATACATGAATTCAATGCTGTACTTTCATTATTGCCTCTTGTTATTATAGTGTTTAAAAAAAAAAAGAATCTAGAAGAGGAATCCAGAGATAGTAAGTGGATATTCCAAGGTTACAGGGCTACAGAAAAGCAGAAAATGAGAATAGGGATCTCTTGATTCCCATTCAACATCACTAACCAGCACCTAATGTGCTGGTTAGTGATGTTGAATGGGAATCAAGAGATATAAGGTCTGGATAAGACCTTATACTAAGACCTTATACTAAGATATAAGGTCTGGATAATTCTTGATAATTAGGAAATGTTTGTTACCTTTTCTTATTTAAAAGGACATTCCAAAGAAAAATGAATGACATGTTGAGGTGTTCTAATATATAATCACTGTTATGAAACATTTAAAATGCAAAGTTGACACCTTTTCAAACTTGCAGGAAATTATTTAAAAACGTGTAATAATTACAGAATCTTATCATGCTTCATATTCAGCTTTTTTGAATATCTAAGGAAAGTTCAATAAATGTATAACAAGTATATAACAAATTGTAAACAATCAACTACCTTTTATAAAAAAATGTGACTTACTCAGTCAACTAAAGCCAAATAATTTCAAGAAGTATATCAAAGACACATTTCTAAATGAATTTTTTTTCTTGCTGTATACAACTCTTAAGCTCTTGTTTGACCTGATTTGTCAAATACTTTGAGAAATGATATTCATTACAGCACAGAGTGATGTCAACTTGCATTAATTCTTTCCCAAAGAGAGGTGTTCAGTATTCAAACTGTGTTTGTACTGGCACAACCTATTTATATTTCAGCTTCATTTCAGAAGGTTTATAAGTATCACTTCCTTTGAAAGGCTGTTCTTTTTTATTCAATTTATCTTCTAAAACAAGCTTTGAAAGGACAATAATAATGTACCATAAAGCTGCTTTCAGTGAAGTTATTAAGAAAATAAATATTTCTGAGAATTGAATAAAGTGTTATATATCAATATTAAATTATACTATTTTCACCAAAGATGTATTATGAGAAATTAAAACTATTCCTTATCAACTAAGAAAATATTTCCCAATGCAGTAAATCCATTAACAGTATTGCATTTGTTTTTATATAAAACATAATTTATTAATTTGTTTTCATCTAATAAGAACCATATGTATATATTTCTAAAATTCTTCTAATTCTTTAATTCTGCTGTAACAATGATTATATGTTAATTAGCAAATGCCAAAATGTTTTCTGATTGAATTTCATAAGAAACAATATGGGATAATAAAAATGGTCATTTCTAATTTCTTCATTTGAAACAACAATGGCAAGCTCTAATCAATTATCCTATCTTGCTGAGGAAACAGGAGGAAGCTTTTAAGATTCTAAATCTGGATTTTGATGATTTTGAAATGAATCCTTTGTTTCCTGTTTACCCACAAATCAATTATAATTTTGAGTTCAGTCATGTAGCAACCATAATTCAGTTAGCTGCTGAAGGTCTTTTTCAAATTTTGTCCTTTCCACCTTTTTTCTGAAGTCGGTTTCTGGTTGGTTCGGTCAATACCAAGGGTTCTTGAATGATGGTTGCTGGGTAATGTTTGCCTAGTAGCTCAACTTCCACTTGTTGTCCTACCTTACTGAGCTCTACGGGGACGTATGCGAAGGCCAGGCTCTTCTGGATGCTGTAACTGTAGCTTCCAGAGGTCGTGTTTCCAACCACCTGAAAAACAAGACCTAGCCATCTTAGCAGCCGGGTCACAACTTTGTGCTCCCCCCTCCCCGTGGAAACACATTATAGATTCAACTCCCAATCTGAAAGCTTTGTGATATGCCATCTGCGGGTGTAACACCAGAGGAGAATGTTGCTTTTTTTGAGAAAAATTAATTAAGAAAATGCACAAATTAAGAAAAGTAATTCTCAAAGTATATGTCTATATTACTTTGACATTTTTCATTTTTAAATAATTACATCTAGTTTTTTAATGCCTGGCAGTATTTTGCTCATTTTATGCCAAGAAATCTAATAGGAAGCAGAATAAAATATTTTCATTTAAGCTTTAAAAAAATTATTTTCTATTATCCAACAGTATGGCAATAATAAATAAATAGGAGAAAATCTAAAAACCCAAATGCAAATTTAGTTAACTATCCCTGAGGGGGTTCAGAAAATGTGTTCAAAATGGTGCTCAATTAAACTATTTATTAATATACTAGAGACCCAGCGCACGAATTTGTGCATGTGTGGGGTCCAGCCAGCTCAGCCCCAATTGGGGCGAATTGGGGCTGGGCTGTCAGGAGGAGGAGATGGCAGGAGGTTGGCTAACCCTTATGGGGCCCCATTAGGGCGGGGCTGGCTGGAGGGGAGGGACTGTAGGTGATTGTCTGTCAGGGCCTACCCCTGATCAGGGTTGTGCGCAGGGCCAGCCATGGGGAGGGGCTGTGGGCAGTGGGCTGGCTGGCCCCACTCCCTGATCTGCCTGTTTGCTGGCCATAGTAGGTATGATAGCAACCTGTCATTACAGTCATTAAGGTGTTACAGTCTCTGGCTTTTTATATATATAGATAGGTAATGTGTTGCTCAATGGTTAGAGCATTGGCACATGGATTAAAGGGTTTGGGGTTTGAGTCCAGTCAAGGGTACATACCTTGTTTACAGGCTCGATCCCCAGCCCCAATCAGGGCACATTTAGGAAGCAACCAATCAATGTGTCTCTCTTACATTGATATTTCTCTATCTCTTCCCCTCCTTCCCCTCGGTCTAAAAATCAATGGAAAAAATATCCTCAGGTGAGGATTAATAAAAACAAAAACAAAAAACAAATAAATATATATAGTCAATGGGAAGTGAACCTTCCTTATGACTACAGCTAGCATTTAACAATTCCAGGCAATTGTGAGGCACTTAAATAAATGTTAACTTTTACCCCCTCTAGCTCTACTCTGTACATTCTAGAGAATATGCAGAGGCCTAGTTCCAGCCTTGTCAAGGAATTAACACAGATCCAAGAAAATATTACACGAAATCAAGATTGTCAACACAGTGAAGCCAGGATTTGTTCTATACTTTCAAGGCGGTGAAACTAGGTTGAGATGGAGGATGACAACTTTTCAGGACGAGTGGAAATATAGTGTTAGGCAGGAACAATCCAAATTAAGGAGGATGAAACAGGATAACTTGGGAAGGCAACAGAGAACAATACTGGACAAGGAATCAAACTCAGGAGAGGAAAACAAAGCTTTAAGCTACAAAAATAAAGAAATAAATCTATAAGACAAGCCTGATTAGAAAATAAGAAGATTAGTAAAAAATCAGAGCTGAAGGGAAGGTTGAAAGGGAAGGGAAAGCAGATTAAAATGTAAATGCATATGTCAGGTTAAAATACCACATTTAAAAAATGTATAAGGAGATAGGAGTCTATATTTATGAAGAAACCATTTTGCTTATGAAGACAACAAAAGCAAAACCTGGTGTATAGCCCTGCTCCACATGGCTTCTCCTAGCTGCACAGCTGCACCAACCCTCCTAGCCTCCCTGCCTAGCACAGAGGGCTGGCGACCCCAAACATTCATGGACATGCATCAGCTTGGTGATCGTTCAGCTGCCTCCGCAAAGAACCCACTAGTGAACAGTCTTATGATAGTGTGTCTAGTCTTTTAGATGCTACACTTTTATGACATTAAATATAAACAACTATCTCTGCAGCCCCAGTTGTTAATTATCTTGTTGAAATCCCAAATCACAAGTTCTCCATATCATTTCCCAACTTGTTATGGTGAGAACTGGTTGGCTAAAAACAAACATCAATGTATTCATTCATTAGTAAAGGCTTCTCTCTTGCAAATTATTAACTGCCAAAGTATTGCTGAGATAACACATTTGAAAATTGCTTTTCTCCTTTAGATCATAGATAAGTGATCTAAGACAGTGATCCGGGTCAGGGAGGTTGGAGTTTTAAACATTGCTTTTTGAAAGTCTTTCTGGTAACTTTGGTTTTGCTTCCCAGTCTGTAAAACAGAGACCTGTGACTGGATTCTTGGGAAAGTTAACCTGACTTGCTTGGGCGACTTAAGAAAACAAGAAGAGGCCTTGGCAAGTGTCTTGTTTTGGGGGCATGCCTTATATTTCACTCAGAAGGAAACCTGTAAATAGGTCTTATTTTCGGAGGATGTCTTATTTTTGGGGATACATCATAAATAGCCAGGAAAAGACTTTTCTAGCATACATCTTATGTTGTTTCTATCTTAAAATCCTCCAAATTCAATTAAATTCATTGCTTGTTTTTTATCAGCAAATCCCAAGAACAACCTGCCTCCACCCTCTGCCTAGGACACCCTCACTCTCATATTCTTTTGAAATTGAATATTGGCCTGCTTTTTACCAATGTGAACAAGCCACATTTATTTTTACCCTTTTCTCATTCTTCTCTTATGAGACTTGAAGACGCCTCTAGCTGACGTAGAGAAGATAACATGGTAAATGGCCTTTGAAAGTGTTCACATAATTTAAACTGGATGCTATTTGTAGTATTTTTGTTTGTTTGTTTGTTTGTTTTTTGCTGTATTTTAGTTTATGAATTATGAAAAACACTTGCTAAATTCTCAAACTTCCTTCTTCATAAACTTCTTCAAAACTTACTTTCCAGCAAAGCTGCTTTTATAACTAATGAAACCCCTCCCCATTCCCAACTTTGGGCCTGGATTTGTTTTTAGATAAACCTTATTTAAAATTATAATCCCTCTGTCTAGCACTGCCCATCTCCCAACTGGACTTCACTTTCCCTTAGGGCACTAATCACTCTCTGACATGCCACTTACTTAATTTACCATGTTCATTGTCTCTCTCTTTCCCCCCAGAATCTAAACGCCACGGGGGCAGAGATTCTTGCCTGTTTTGTTCACTGCAGCATCCCTAGAATATTGCTGGCACCTAGTAAACACTTGATTAAAACTTGATAAGTATATGAATACATCTCTACCCTATCTCTCTAAATGGAAATATTTGCAAGAATGGAATAGGCTGTAAAGTCCAGACAAAGTCAGGAAATAAAAATGATTTCATATCATTCTAGAGTATGAAAGAGGATCAAAGAGGGTGGTCCATGACCCTAGTAAGCACCAAATTTAAGAGATATGTTATCAATAAAGGATCCTATAAGTAGATTAAGCAGATGGCATACAGTAGGAAAGATGAACAGTAAAGCATGCAAACTCAGTGCACAGATATGGCAAAGGAAGATTCAAAAACAGAAGTTGGGCTTCCCAAGGTGTCCTCTCCCCCCCTCCCCAGCTTTGAAATATAATTAATATGTGATAATCTGTATATTTAGGGTAAGGTGTCCAGGTGGTTTTTTTTTTTTACTTTAATTTGGATATCATATTTAATGTGGCTAACAGTCTGGTTGAGACTAGAGGAAGAGCCTATTAGGAAAAGAGGGCTGACAAAGCCATTTAGAACAGAAAGAGGAAGAGGAAGCAATGAGGAAAGAGCAGGAATGGTACAAACCGAAGAACAAACTCGGCATATTTCTAGGTGAGGGATTTAAGAAAGAGCTTGAGATCTGAGAAAAGTCTGTTGGCTTCATAGTATCTAATAACATCCACCTGCTACTCAGATCACAAGAGTTGTGTTATAATTTGTACTGCAGAGAACACAGTGGGACATCAGCAGAGGCAGAAAAGAGAGTAAATTGAAGTAGTCAGCATGGCTTACAAGACAGGATAAGCAATTCAAAGTCCAGCTATGCGGGAGGTAAGAAATCAGTTCCCTCAGTCATGAGCTGTGTAACCTCAGGCAACTTACTTCACCTCTCTGAGCCCCAAAGCCTCATCCAAATGATCAGCCTCGTTAAATCAAGCGGATCATATGTACCTGAGAAGGATGTGGTAAAACCAGATTGGGAGTACATAGAAGACAGTCAGCACATAGTAGGAACTCTGTAGATGTTAGTTCTATGTCCAGCTGACCCACACCTCAACTCATGGCCATTTCCTTAGTAATCCAAAGGCTGATATTTGATCCCACTGCCTTCCCCAGTGCTCTTTATGTTTTGAAAAGATGGGGGAAATGGAAACAAATCTAAGTAGGCTGCAGTGCGTGAGAAAAAAATCCAGACATGGGCTCTCTTAGATGCTGGGTATTGGCCAAGCAGACACTGCTCAATACGGACCAGTTGTTTAGGTGAAGGCCCTGTGTCTGCCCTTTGGTCTAAGCTGAGTGCCCTCCATCTGCCTGGTAACATCAGCAAATCTTGAGGCAAATTGGGTTTTACAGTCATCGTAGTGGTGGAAATTAAGTTTCCCGGTGAGTTACCCAATTTTACTGAAGAAAGGATAAAATGTAACATTCCAAAATGAGAAGGTAATTTTACTCTTCCCGAAGAGCCAAGTGGTTTCTTCTTTCACCTTACTTTCTAAAGTTCTACCTTCTATTGTCATAGAAGCTTTCATTGGAAATTTCTTTCTGCTAATGTGATAAGGTTACAATTGCCTTCTGAAAGAAGCTAAGTCAGAAGGCCAAATTCTTTATATAAAATCTATCTCCTGCCTTCACAAAAGGGATGTGGCGAACAAGTAGGTGACTTTATCCTCTAAAATACCTTTCTCATTGTCTAATGCATTTCACGTTCTTGAGTTTATTTTCTTTAAACAAAGCATATGAATTTTATGTTTTCAAAAATGCGTAGCACTTTGTTTTTCTTTTAGTTAATTGACTTGTTTCTTGAATGTCAGCTGAGAAATCCAGTGAGAAATCCTCAGAGCAATAAATATAGAGCAAAAGCTCTAACAGGAAACAGACAAGGAGAGTTTCCCTTGCGGAAAAGCCACAGGGCCCCCGCTCTCACCTTGCCCTTGTGCCAGATGCTTTCGTTTCCCTCCGGATCCACGTCGTCCGTGGCCAAGGTGAGGCAGACCAGCCTCCGTTTCAACCCCTCGGCTTTAATCTGTTTCAGTGCTTGCTTTCCTATGAAGTCTGCGGGCTGCAGAAATCCAAGATAATGATGATGAATGAATGTTCAGACGTGGTGACAAGGTTAGAGATGCAAGCATTTAAATTTGTCTTTGCTATTTTCTCGCCAATTACACATTCAATAAAAATACAGATTGGATCAAATGTCTAGACAAATATTTCTCAGTCCTCAAACGACAATATCAGCCACCTTATTCCTCCTGACTAAGTAAGACTTAAGCGTAATAACTTGTGGTAACAATTTCACCAGGATCACGAGGCAGAGAAACGGAAGGTGTGCTATTGCAATGGTGGGTTATGAAAGTGACCCCTGTACCTAGTGGCTCTGGATGGTGGGCCTGGCTGGTAGTGAGCAAAGCCCTCCTCAGTGTCTGCATTCAGTGAGCCTTTTATGTGAAGGAAATTCACTTTTCGAAATGTGATGCCAAAAACAACTGCAAAGCACCTCATGTCTTTTCCTTCTTTGGAATAATGGTCTGGGGAACGTATTAACCTATTGGGCTGTACTCATTAATTCATCTGGGAAATTTGTCAGACACAAAATTAGTCAGACGCAGACATTTTGATCAAAGAGCTTATTCTCTAACATTGAGCTTTTCAACCTTTTGTTTCTCCCTCCATGCAACGCATGACAGATGACATTCCTATTCCTGGCACCTCCCTCTGGGCACACCCATGGTTATTCCCGATGCAAGGCAAGTGAGTAAGAGTGACACTGTTCCAGGGGTAACCTTGAGTCCAATCTTATATGTGAAGAAGAAAAAAAGAGTAGGAATCATGCAAACTTCAGGACTTTCACATCTATTAATAACACCTTACAACAAACAGGTGAGCATTGACTCCTCTGTGGGGACACTTAGCAAATACAGGAGATACAATTCTACCCAACCAGAATGCCAGGTAAGTGTGAGAAACCAGTCAGGGGCTAAGAGCAGTAAGAGTGCAAAGAATGGAACGCGGGGTGAAGAGGCCACAGTAAGTGCGCTTCCACAAACATCTCCTATCTAATGGGGAGAGGGGGAGTTTGTGGCACACAAATCACATCTCTATGGATGAGATTGAATTAGAGTTACAATGTAGAAAATGAAATTCTCAAAACAACTCTCATATAGAGACTAACTACTCAAAAGAAAAGAAAAGACAGAGAACAAGAACTTAAATTTTTCCATTGGCCAAGAAGAGAGGAAAACATTTCATGCCAAAAATGTCTTCTGCACTCTTACATTTAAGATTTTAAGAGAGCTGTATAGATCCTAAATCCAACATTTAGGATTTATACTGCTCTTCCTGCACACGCATCATTTGGGGTTGGGTGCATAAGTCCCTTTAACCTCTTGGTTAAGTAGTGGCAGGGGTCCTCACACACTCTGCCTGAGACACCCAGTTCCACCCTGTACTAACTAAGAACTTTTAGGACAGGAAAACTTCTAGGACAGGACAACAAATATGATTTCTATGGATATTGCAACTTTAAAATTGCTGACCTGCCCTGGAAGTTAAGAAAGTTTCCATTGGCCAAGGTTAAAAATAATTGCAAAATAAAAGTCTAATTCTTTCCCCTTCCCCAGTGTGATCCAGACGGTGAGAACCAATCATAGAGCTTCTTTATGAAACCAGAGAAGAAATCAAAGAATATAGACCTCATGTTATTTAAGACAGGACTGCTAGGGAAAAAACAAAACAAACCCATAGGAAAAGCTTGATTCATTTGAATTCATGTGTAAGAAAAATTTATGATAAAAATTATAACAAACCAATGTTCATTACAGTTCAAACTTGGATATCTAAATACAGAAAGAACTTGATAACACCAGCAACACTTTTTTTTCCCTATCTTTTTAAAAGAAGACTTACATGACAAGGTGTGCTTTTTAGAGTTCCTGTATGGCCTCACACTTTATGTGGAAAAGCTCTTACAATAATAGGAGAGGCCAATGCATACTAATAGTATGACTTATGGAGTGTCAGGAGATGGAGGAGGAGGCGGGAAAGGAGGAGGAAGAGAAGGAGAAGGTGAAAGAGGAGGAGGAGGAGGAAAAGGAGAATTGTTGTTTCTTTGTCTCCTATTATGAAATCGGAATCTTTACTGTTAGAGATTCATATAGATCTTAAAAGTTCAGGGTCTTCCTGAGTCCCTAGTAAATCATTTTATTTTAATTATTTATTCAGCAGTTATTATTGCCCTGCTATGTTTCATACACTGTGCCAGGCACGGGCTGTTTGGAGCTAAATAGAACATGGTCTCATAGTTTCTGGAAGGCCCTGCTAAGATGTGACCTCTTCCTTCCAAGTCACAACAGGTCAGGTCTTGAAATTATTTGTATCTCCTTGGTTTTTAAAAAATTTATCTTTATTGTTGAAACTTTACTGATGTCCCCCCTTTTTTGTTTCAATATATCAGAGGAAAGGAGAACAGTCTGAGGTTATTGGAAACATAGAACAGGATACATTATAGCATACAAATTGGCTATACCAGTTTGAAACATGACTCAATGTTGGTTCTGTTTGTTCAGTGGGAGTGTAAAAATCACAGCATTTTATAAATTTAAGACAATAATGTCTAATGTGTGAAGGCAGAAATGCAAACAAGCAGATGCTATGAGAGGGGTCTGTACAGCGGGGACTTGGGAGACAGTGTGATCGCACGGCTGGCATGGCTCAGTGGTTGAGTGTTGAACCAGGAGTTCACAGTTAGATTCCCAGTCAGGACACATGCTCAGGTTGTGACTTAATCCCCAGTGTGGGGTGTGCAGGAGGCAGCCAATCAATGATTCTCTCTCATCATTGATGTTTCTATCTCTCTTTCTCTTCCTCTCTGAAATCAATTAAAAAAAAATATATATATATATATATACACACACATATATATGAGTATGATCAATTCTGGGGTGGGAGAGTGGGGCCAGGGCAGCCTTCTGTCAGCAACAGTTTTGTAGAAGAAGTAGTTTGAACTGAATTGTTAAAGATGAGATTTCATAATGGCTATTATATACATAGCCTTTCCTAAAAGTCCTTGCACTTACGTTATAAATTGATCTTCATAAGAACCCATAGATGGTGGATTTGGGGTCTAAGTGAATGAACTTGGCCAAAGAAATCAACAAAGTGGTTAAGAATGAAGCTGCCAGGAGTCCCAGTTGTGTTATTTTCATCTACTATGAGGGGCCTCCACCCTGCCACGTAAGCCAGTATCTGCTACACCTTTGCGGGGTGGGGAGCTGTGAGAAAGTTGGCCACAACCAGAGCTTTCAGAAATGGGTCCTTTTGGGGGTGCTGGATGAGAGCTGTTGGGGCAGGTGCTAAGGGGTTGACGGGAATGAGATGCACTGGAAGGGGAGTGTAACTCAATTTTTGCCAAATACATAATTTTACCCAAGTCTAAGCAGGGACATATGGTATCAACTAAACACAAAAAATAGGAAAAGGGGAGACAACCCCAGAATACTACTTTTATAAGAGAAAAATTAAATAAGCAGTAAAAAAAGAAATATTAGTAATAGTTACAATTTATTAGGCATTTGCTATATGCTAGACACTGTGCTAGTTGTACCCTGAGGGTTGTACATTCACAAGCTCATTTAATCCTCATGACGTTTCTATGAGAGAGACAGTTTTACCCCAGTTTATGGGAGAAAAGGCCCAACAAAATCGACGCTCAGTTACATGGCAGCGTAAGTCAGCATCTTTAGATTTTATCCATATATATTTTATTAATGACTGTGTCTGGAGACTATCATTGGCAGACACAGCTGATATAAATACTCAAAAGAATATTTCTGTTAAATTATTCCAAGGTAGACCAATCCTGTTTTGAAATATATTCACTACACAACAATATTTTTGTACCACATGCAAGAATTTGAAAATACCCTGAAGGTTAATACATGAAATCTGACACCTACATCTACATATCCCTGAAATAGGAAGTGATCTGGTCAGCAATAGTATCCTAAGAAAGGATGAAAACAATACTGTAACAAACAACAGAAACGTAATTAAATATAAGGAACACACATGTATAACAGAGAAGAGGGGACACCTGCCTCTTGAGACAAGTCTCCCTCCAAGCTAACCTGGTGTCCAATGGGAAGACTTAAAGTAGGGCAGTGGCATCTCATTCTCATTTTACAGGGCTTTCCTCCCAAGGAAATTCTTAATTATGAGTGACAGAGGAAAATATGTCTGAAAGTAAGTGCTGTGATTGAAACTGGTGCTTTCAAGATGACCTGAGAACAGAAATACATTTCTTTAATGAGTCACTGCCAAATTAATTATATGAGTAGTTATTCATCTCTTTGAGAAACAAATTTCTAGGGCACTGAGACTATAGCTTAAAAATAACTTTGGCTTATCTTTTTAATTTAATTTAAAAAGTATATATTTTATTGATTTCAGAGAGGACAGAAGAGGGAGAGAGAGCTAAAACATCAATGATGAGAGAGACTCAGTGATCAGGTGCCTCCTGCACACCCCCTATTGGGGATGGAGCCCAAAATCAGGGCATGTGCCTTTACCAGGAATTGAACCATAACCTCCTGGTAGATAAGTTGTGGCTCAACCACTGAGCCACACCAGCTGGGCCTATATTTGTCTTTCTTGATACTAATACTATACTGTCTTCATTACTGTAGCTTAAATCAGGTTGTGATAGTCCTAAGACTTTGTTTTCCCTTTTGAAAGTTTTTTTTTTTTTATATAGCTATTTTATGTCCTTTGAATTTGACAAAGGAGGCAAGAATCTATAATGGAATAAAGATAATCTATTAAATAAAAGATGTTGGAAAAAATTAGATAGATACCTGAAGACAAAAAAAGCTAGGCCACCTTCTTACACCATATACAATAATAAATTCAAAATGGATTTTGAAGGGCTGGTGATAAATCTTAGACTCAAAACCATAAAAATCCTAGAAGAAAACATAGCAGTAAAATCTCTGACCTTTCTCGTAGAAATATTTTTTCTGATATATCGCCTAGGGCAAAGGAAACCAACAAACAAAATAAACAAAT